AAAAAAAAAAAAAAAAAAAAAAAAAAAAAAAAAAAAAAAAAAAAAAAAAAAAAAAAAAAAAAAAAAAAAAAATTAATTAATTAATAAATGAATGAAATAAAAAGAGAGTAACACGAGTTTGCAAGTTCACCTATAAGTAAAAGACAATATCTCGTGACGCGTTGTATTGGCATGATCATGTAATCTGCAAGTCCGAGACGATTCGTCTCCTGTTTTCGCAGTGATCGCTGTGTTGTGAGCGGTAGTTGAGAAATTTATTAGTTGTTTAGGCAATCGCAATCGTATTGCGCTCAATATTTCGACTTCACCTCAAAACCCTTCATACCTGTATAAATTTTTTATACAACACGTTCTCATTGGCCTTCTTCACCGCCGTCACACTCTGCTGGTGATTCCCGGCGTACTGCCGGAACACATCAAATTCTTCTTGGTGATTCAAGAATATTTCGCCAATCTTCGATTCCGAGTCTTCCCGCAAACTCGCGCTATTCTCAAATGATTCGACCATTCTTGTGGATAAACGTATGAGGCCGTCCACGTGGGCAAATATTGTCGACGCGTCTAACGAGTTTGCCAGTGGATTTGTTGTTTCGGTGAACGGGTCTATGAAGACCTATCATGATCATGATCATGGTGGGATAGGTGAAGGATGAGTGAGATGGGCAAAAGGAAAAAAAAAAAGGGGATCACGGGAAAATTTACCTTCTTGAGGATCCTCATGTTTTCCATGTAGCTCTTTTCGGTAGAGTATATCTCATTAATTATAAACCTCCTCATCTGAATTGCTTTCAGAACATCCTTCTTCACAAATCCAAATATGTCAAGAGGCAACTGCGGCGGATTATTCGAGATCCTTGTGAAATTTGGTTCGACCGTATCATCTCCATCCACGTTCTTCCTCTTGTCCTTCTTACCACCCTTCTTACCGAACCCAGCATTTTTATTTTTTCGATCATCAGGATTCCCGACTACATAGTTCAAAACTTTGATCTCTGATTCGGCAGCAATCCGCTGATTGGTCTTTGACGAACCTGTTTGATAGGCATAAGAATTCCTTCGTTTCACATCATTCGAGCTCGACCGCTTTCGTTGAAACAACCCTTTGATGGTTCTCACTTCAATGTGCGACCACGACCGCCGAATGTTGCTTGATAAATTCTCGTTAACCTCATCGTCCATCTTTGACTCCAACTGTGCACTGCTCGGCATTGTTGAGTTCGCATCACATTCCACCAGGTCGCTTGATTCGGCGGCGTGTTGGCTCCGATCCGATTTTACCACTTCGGAGGCAATGATCGATGATGATTTGACACTCCGATTGTTGTCACATGAATGGTCGGGGTTCACCGGAGAGGATCCGCTGTCTACTACTTTGTTAGAATCATCATCGAAACCATCGTCCTCATCATTACCCACTTCTTCTTCTTCTTCTTCCGACGAACCCCTTGGTCGATTCTTGATGAACGGAAGGCTGAGTCTTTTGTGCGGGATGTTCTCCTTCGTACCCGAGGGTGACTTGTTCTTTGTGGAGGGTGGAGTCAGGAAGGACGAGTAGGGGATCGAGTATTCTTCCAAGGCGGTGCGATCATCTTCGAACTTTCCGGCCTTCATGGTCACGCTTCGACATAAACGACGTATTCTTGACGGTTTGTAAGTATGATGTTTTTTATTTGACGATCGTTGCGATGGGCTGCTGTTGGTGCCTAGTATGTAAACGAGGAGGTTGTCGTTAGAAAAAAAAAAAAAAAGAAGAGAAGAGAAGAGAAAAAGAAAAGAGGTTGAAAACAGCAAATCAAATCCCCCCAGCAATAAACAAATAAATAAATAGAAAAAAAAATAAAATAAAATTATTGAACCCAAATAAATAAATAAATAAATAAATAATTCTATGTATCACGGCAGTTGAAATTTAAAAGATGAGAAAAGGAAAGATAAAGTTTTGGAAACGCCTTGAAAGGAAATCGAACCAAGCGTTAAATAACAAAGTTAAAAAGTTATTGGAGGTAACTTGATAAAAAAAAAGGAAAGAGATCAAGGGGTTCGAAAAGGTGCGGAGGACACTGTCCAAGAGACAAATCCGGATGGAAAGGGTGAGGGAAGGAGTAAATTGTGTGTGCGGTGGTGGTGATCGTATGACTGACTATTACCTTTTACCAACACCGTTGCACTATTACTCTGTATTCTTTTCGGTTTTGATTTGCATAAACAGTCGCACGCACGCACGCGAAAGAAAAAAGAACCCTTTCGTGAAGGGTCTCTGTCATATGAATGTAAGAATTGCGAACACTAATTAGATGGCGACCAAATTAAGAAGTGAACGTCGTAAAGTGGTAACAATGCGAAAAGTGCGCTTGTTTTTAAATTACATTTAAATGTTATGTATGATATGCGAAGGTGGGGTATGATATGAGAGTATGATATGATGGCGAAGATAATGTGTAGCGCTTAATGAGTAGATAAAAGGGTGTGAACGAATTGTTTGGGAATTGCAGTAGTCTATAAAAAACAAAGCCGTCATAAATTTTAAATTGCCAATCTAAATAAAATAAGGGTAGGGTTAACTTTATTTTTTTAAAAAAGTTTAAAAAATAATTTTCAAGCATGCGTGTAATCGGGCGTGGCTGAGATCATTGCGTATGGAGCGTGTAAAACGGTGGGTGCAATCTTTTTAGCTATGTGCGCCATGGGTGATCGGGGTGACGGAAAATGACGAGGATGTGGTGGCGAAAAATAATAAAAGCAAAAAAAGAAAGAAAGAAAGAAAGAGATAATGAAATAAAAGCAAAAAAAGAAAGAAAGAAAGAAAGAGATAATGAAATAAATAAAATAAAGCAATCACATTATCAATGAGACAATGAGATGGGTGTGCGTGTGTAAATTGGATTTTTTTAGGCGAGAAAGGGTAATAATAGATGAATTAGAGTTTTTAGACGGGAAAATAATAAAAAAGGGTGAGAGTAACAAATATAAGATCCGTTAATTATTGGCGAAAGATGGTGGAAGCCCCATTGCATTATTAATCTACCCAAACTAGTTGGGCTAACGGGGAGGGACCCATATAAGATGTCATATAACATATTTAAATTCATTGATAATAAATGATGTGTGAAAAAGTTTGATGTATGGAGGAGAAAAGTAGGTTGATAAGGGATCTATACCATGCTTTAATTATCAAACTATCAAATCATTTATCATTAAAGATGGGAAATAGTTAACTGACCGTTAAGAAAGAAAGAAAGAAAGAAAAAAAAAAAGTCTAAAATTATGGAATCAAAGCTGATGGCATACGTAATTACTGTGCGTGCGAGCGTGCGTGTGTATGGTGTGTGATTGTGGTCGGTAATCACCAAGGGGAATGGAAAGTAAAGATCACAAATAAAAAAGGCAAGAAGGAAAGAGAAGAAGAAGAAGATGTGCATGATAAAATAAATGGGGGAGAAGGAGAAATAAATGAATCATCCTATTCGCAAGAGCGAGCGCAACTACGCTCGATCAACTAACTTACCGTCATTGTTTTGGCTGGACCACAGATTGGGAACCGATAGAGGATCACGAAAAATCGAATCTCGGCAACTGTTGTCGTGACCGCCGCTGGTCGTGGTATCTTTCATTTCAACTGATTGTGAGCGTGAGTCGAACGATAACGGCTGCTGCTGCTGCTCGTTATCTTCACTATCCGATGGGGATGCGGTTGGTGTGAATAGAAGCGAAGAATAGGCGAGAAATGAAGTAAGGCTGGCTAACTCCTCTATCGGTTCGGGTTGGCTATTGAACGCCGTGCGAGTTGGAGATAATTTTGGTCTGAACTTTTTTGTCGACGTTGACAATATCGACTTTATATAAAAGAAAAAAAGAAATAATCGAATGCTTAATACGAATGTGTTTTTGGTAAGTGCGCTCTGTCATTTTTTTTTTGCTTTTTCCATGGGAAGGTTGTACCAATTTCTAAAGATACCCAAGGTCGGCCTGTCGACACCCGTCTATTTATTACGTATTGACCTGACCTGTTTCTATTCTTGTTATTGTATATTGGCACTTTTATATATTTGCCCTGTTTGTCTGAAATTTTTTGTTTTCTTTCTTACGCAAAAGTAAATCCCGAAACCATCAATTACAAATAATGTGATGTGTTCCTTTAAAAGACATGATGTCTCGAGTGTAGCAAAATATTGAAATAAAGTGGCAGAATTAACAAATAAAGTAAGAACCGAGGGGGAAAGGGTGAAAAGGGAAATTGGTGATATTTGTGTGAATGCGTGTGTATGTATGCGTGCGTGTGACATGTTTTAGGTGGCCGTTGAAAGGGAATGTTCGAAGGAGGAGGGGCACAAAAAATCTAATTGGACAAAGGTGAAGGTTCATCGCAGAGAGAGTCAAGCACAAGAATGGTTAATTACCTTGTCGTCAAACAAGAGATTTATCACCTCGTCGTCGTCAGCGCTTAGAAATATTTTGTGGTGTCGGTACGTAGATTTCGAATCCGCGACGTCCGTGTCGTCGAGGTCTGCTTCTGCACTTTCGTCCTCGTCGTCGATTATAAAGAGTTCCCGTAACACACTATTGTCGTCGGCCCGTGATGTTATTGTTGTTATTGTTGTTGCTGTCGAAGGGCCGAATAGTTTAACCCTTTTATTGGTGGTGGTGTCAGAGTCGGTGTCTGTGTTTTTGTTTTGTTTATCCCTTCGGCCGCCATCGCTTTTTTAAACAAATTCAAGATTATCATTATACGTAATTAATTTATGTTATGAGCATTTAAATTACATTAATAATAGAGCACAACGCATATGTGAATACGTAAGAGTATGATTACATGCGTTGTGTAATCGTATCAATGAACATCACAATAATGGAGGTGTAATCCCAAGGAAAAATAAATTAAATTAAAATGCATACACTTTATCGTCATGTTCCATTGTTTCTGTGTCACTCGCCATTGAGGATCGAGGGGTTGGCGGTGGTGTCCTCTGGATGGACATCAAAATTTCCTCCGAAGCGTTCAACCCATCGGAAATTTCTGTCACGGTGACCAGCAATTTGGGGGAGGGTGCGTTGGCAGAGGTGAGGGTGCTGGGGACTCGGGGAGTGCAGGGAACGGTGATTGTGAGGTCGGTGGGGACGAAGGAAGCGGAGGCATCGGTGACGGAGGTGGAGGTGGTGGCGGAGGCGTCCGCGGCGGAAGCTGACAAGGCAACTGTGTGTCGTCTTTGACAGTTGATTTTGGACGTGTCCTTTTTGTCAACCGTTGGTCTCCCGCTAGATCCGCTGATTGGTTTCCGGGGGACTACTAAACCTTTGTCATCCATGGAACTTCTTTTATTGGTGTTCACATTATTATGATCATTATTTTGCTTTTTGTTTGCATTTGCGGTTGACGTAGATCTTATGGGAGAGGAGGGTGGTGTCAAGGTTTTGAAGGCGGGGGAGCGAATTGATGTTGATGCGTTTTTTATCTTTGGAGCTCCCGAAGTTTTCACCGTGATCTTTGGGGGACCTGGGACCGAATTTGGAGTTTTGGACGCGATCGAGGCATTAGAGGAGGTCGACAGATTGGTCCTTATGTTGGAACGTCGGTTCGCCGATGGGTGGGATATGGTTTTCGATTTTTTAAGAGTAATTGTGGTGGTCGCCGAAGAATTCAAGCTCGGTCTTCGGGCGACGGTGGTCTTCTCTCGCCTCTTGACGCTCACGGAAGTTGAACCTGACCTGGTATGCGTAGAAGCGGTGGCGGTGGAGTGAACGACAGGGGAAACGGTTGGCGCCACAGCAGTCCCTTGCATGGTAACCGCGGTGATTGGGTGAGGCAATTTGAATGGAGGTAACCCTTACAGTACTTTTTCTTGTATAAAATAAGGGGGCCGGGTATCATACAAGACGGAGAGCATTTAAAGCAGGAGAGTTGATCATTAAATTCAGACGTGTGTGTTTTTATATGCAATAACTGTGAAGTATTGATTGATAAATGGGATGTAGCGGATAGGTGTGTATCGGTGTGAGATAAAAACAAGTTCACAAACAAGATATTTATTTATAAGGTGCGGTGTGGAAAAACACACGTTTGCTGATGTACACAGATGCACGCGAAATATTCGACTGTTGTCGATGATACGTCGATTATTCTTATTCCTGGGTGATGAAGAGGGTAAAAAAAACAATATGCGTTAAAAACAATTAGATATTTACAATTGTGCCCATCAGCATCAGTCTGGGATGCATTTCATTGTTTTTGCGACCGCGTGATGAATGACAATTTGGCTTCCCGGATTCCTTTTAAAGTTTGCTGGGTGGGATGATTAATCGCACTTATCATAACTTTAAAGACGCCATTCCGAGAATATGATGAAAGGTCGTGCAAAGATTCTTAAAATGAATGCGCCGACTAATTGGGTCATTCCAAATTGCTTACCTGCCGAAATAATGAGAACCTTTATTCTTTCAAAGAGAGAATAACGTGGAACACGTGCAATATAGAATTATCGGAGTACGATAACCGTGCGAACGGGTGCAGCAAATAAAATAGATAGAGCAGATATGTGTGTGTGTGTGTGTGCGTTTGAATGCTAGGAGGGATGCATGAAAGGAAAAGTATAATCATTCTCCGATTGTAGGCATAAGGTTTAATCGAATGTGTACATTAAAGAAAGCTGCGGAAGAAAGAGATTCGCAAAAAGTAATGATAACCGGTTTCCTTTGTTTTTGTAATTGATCGCGCTGGATATGTAAAGAAATCAGGAAAAAAAAGAGTTTAAAAAAAAAAAAAAAAATTCGAAACCAAAAAAAAAGGGTAGAAGTACAAAATATGAATCCTTCCGTAATATATATACTGTATATATGCGCATGTATTGCGTTTTAATTTATTATTATATATTTGTGTGATGCACATCGTACGAGTAATATTTTGATAAAAATAATGATAGTAATACCGAGTTGAGAATCGTCCTATGATATTTGCACCCTTCACCAGGACCCATGTCGGCTGTGTACAGCAACCGTACGTCATGTTGTTTCCGGATGTCATTCATGCGTCAAGAGCGACCTGTCTGGTTTTTGCTTGTGCGAAAAGCTGTATCATATAAGAATAGATAAAAAAATTTTTTTTCTTTTTTTGATAATTTCCGTTTACGATTGGACATGTAAGGTTTGCACCCACTTGATATGAATCTTTCTGTACTCGGGAATATTTCGGAATTTTCTTTTCATGCGTCCGGAAGTGTGTACAATGCGTTTCGAGAGATGTGTCGCACGAATCAAAGTTTATGATTTGGAATGATTAACATGATGCTTGAATAGTAGATTTCGGTCATCGGTTATTGCGTAAACAATCTCCGATTGTTTCTCTGGGAAAGTAAAAGAGATGCGCTGTATGTATGCGCATTCATCGATGTTGACCATCTTTCTTTCTCTTGCCTTCACACCTCGTCCTTATGATTCCGCCTCTCACGCAGACCCGCCCACCGCACGCGCGCACACAGAGGTGAGGTGTCACCATAGAGTCGTCGTTTCCAAATGTTTCATAAGCCACGTAAAAATATCATTGATGTTTCATTAAAAATTCATTTAAGCTTAATGGGCATTGATGGTTTGAGAGCACTCGGCACGCGTAAACGTAAACATTGACTGATGGAACTCATTCGGTTAAAGCAAGATCGAACGACGTGCGACACTCAAATCAATAATACGTAACGTGCAGCAAGTGTACTGTTATAGCTTGTCCTTTAAGTCGAGTGACACAACCGTAATCTCTAAAAATAACTCGTGCTAACCTTTTCCGAGCAGTATTGTGTGAATGAAGACTAATCGATACAGTAATTAATCAATTGCGGCAACAGACACCATCACAAAGGCTAATCTTAATCGATCTCATGCGTATCAATTTTTTTGCTCTAAAAAATTTCTAGGCTGATTGCGCGACATCTCACCATTCTTCTTAAGTCGCAAAATTTGCGAGTGTACAAACAATATCCACCGCCACTGTTTCCGTATGTGTAACCGTTGTCCTTATCTGCGCTTGCGCAAGTGGTTATCAATCGGATCAAAAACGCAATCGTTTTGTCCCTATCCACCATGCCTTCTCAAGGATCCTCCGAGGAAACGGTCGAGACGTAGGCGAGGCGATTCGTGGCGTGTTGTATGTATGGATACGCACATTTACGTAATGATATACAGTATACTGTATCTTTAAGAAAAATCGAATTAATTAAATGCCTTCCTAAATCAATGATACGCAATGTACCACCATTAAACATTAAATACTTGTCGTATGTGAGACGCTGTAAGAGCGAAATTAAAATCCGGGTATCACCCGTAGAGATGCGATAATATAATATTACGTATTAAATAAATCACTGTGGTCCACAAATGATAATGTTGATGCTCAGATAATGAACAAAGTGTTGCTCGAATATGGGTAACCTCGATCTAGATACGAAAGGGAATTTTTTTTTTTTTAAAAAAAAAAAAAAAAAAAAAAAAAAATCAAACGCTCCTCCATATATACTGTATATATACTGTACAAAAAATCTGAGTTAAGACGGGTTTTCTTTCCCTCCTCCTTTCTTTCTCTCTGATCTAGCCCGTTGATACAGTATCAACAAATTCAAAATTCTTCCACAACCGCATTCCAAGAGTCAACACCCAAACGTCTACATAACTTCCTTCCAGTATGATTTGCGCCCTCATTCCTAAAATGTCGCGATTCCGATTACCATATAAGTTACATCTTTAATGGCGATAGGCTTTGTCGAATGCATAACACAATAACTCTAACTGGAAATCATTATGATGTTTAGGCGTGGGACAAGTGTTTGTTTATCTATCATCTTATTTATCATTTCAATGTTTAAGCTATAGACTTCAAAGGTCATTGTGCATCTTACCGCTGAGCCGCACCGACAGCCTTCGTTGTCGTCTCGAGTGTGACTATAGGGAGGGTGAATTTTGTGTGCGTGTGTGCGGTGCTCAATGATGCAGGCAAAACAAAAATTACATAATTTATTAGTTATTAGTTATTATTATTATTTTGGCGTGCACACCCTTACCTTTTCTTCCACAATGTAGACGCATTTACGTTATCACCTCGTCATCGTACGCCATCCACAAAAAATTTCTTACCCACACCACCACACCACAACAATGGTCATTCATGCAGAGATTGAAAACCCCGGATTGCGTTAGCTTCGATTGCCCGTATTTATTTGATCCGAAAAAATCGACCAGGTGTAGGTAATCAATCCCCTCCCCCTAAAATTAGAAGGTTTTTGTTTGACCACCGTTTTCAAAAGTCATTCTAACCACATCCAGTGCGAAGCGTCGTCACATGCCCAGGACTTTTTTTTTGATGGGTGATTCTAGAACAATCTCATTCTAAAAATGAATTTCCATATTTGGCAAATTTTGATCATTCGGATCATTTGTTAAGACACGTGCTCAGAAAAAAATATGTTCGTCCGGTTTCCTTTGTCCCACCTGCCCTTTGAATATTTATATGACAGTGATACCACTCTTTCACCTATTAAATTCAGCAATTCGATCTCATTATCCGAGGCTGCATTTGGCAATGATTAACGACGCACATTTTTTCCTTACGCATCAACAAGAATCCGCTATATCATGACTTGATTGCTTGATTACTTTGCGCGAAATATGAATGCGATTGTCTCGCTCGTTCACTTTTGCGAAGTTGACGGACCGAGCGTGATATTTTGTACACAGGCCTTTCATAAAAAAGTGGTGGAAGACTGTATTGACGGCCTCTCTATAAGCAGCGGAGAATTTTTTCCGGATCGATCCCACACCGAAAATCACAAAGAAGATGGCACTCAGACGAACAGAAAGGACTTCACAACAAACGTTGGCAGGCCCGCACCTGTCTCATGTGCGTCCTGTTCGTTCTCCTTACCTTCATCGGGTGACCCGAAAGCACAAAACTCCTCGGAGATAAAAGGTTTCAGAACAGACGACGACGAAAATCCAATGGTCGTATACATAGGCTCTAGGTATCCACAACATCCTCAGTTATATGCCGCAGTGAGACAAGCATGTGTGAGAAGGTAATTCGGTTTGTTCTGTTCGTTTCGTTTTTTTTTTTTTTTTTTCTTCTCGTAAATTACTTACCACCTTTCCGTTTTTCGAATCAGTTTAAGCTGCGAATTCTGTTGCCAAGGAAGTGAAGGTCCCGTCTTATTCGGGGACGACAAAGATGGATATGTTCTCAGTTACATGTTCAAGATCAAGGACAGTCAGGCGAGGGGATTCCAACGATGGTACAGCTTCATCTTTTTAATGACGGATCGCGTCTACCTGGTGTCATCGTGGCCGTTTCTCGTCAGGTAGTTGATCTCTGGATTTGATTTCAAAGAGAGGGGGTCTACTAAAGATCGACGATTGTCATCTCGTTAAATCAAATTCGCAGTAAATTTCGAACTCTTGCCTCAAGCCTGCAATCAAGGGCGAACCAAGTTTTCGAGAGAGAAAATAACGTTGCACGGGAGGGTAGAAAGGAAGACGGGTTTTTATCGCGTTCGGGTCCACTTCCACCAACATCTGCAGGTTTGCATTCTTTTATTATTTTTTTTTAAATGATAAACATAAAACCGATCCACACCTGTCCATCTTTGGCCTTAAAAAACTTTATTTATTTATTTATATATATATATATATATATATTTTAAAGATCTATTTCTCAGGCGAAGAGCAAAGCAGCCTTTGAGATCTTTGGTGGAATTATTAACGAAGGTGTTTATCTGTGTACTTTACTATTCAGTTGTCTTCTTTGGTCTAATCCTGCGAACCTATCAAAATACTTGTTTGAAAAACAGGACTTTTATGTTATACTTCACGCCAAGTTTAGTTGGATACTGAAAGCCTGCGGGAGGCGTTTGCAGGAGAAGAATTCCAACGTTAAAGAGTTGGTGATTATTAAAGAAAGTTGACCGCATTGTTTCATCTTAAAATATGCAGCGCTAAAAAAATTTTTTTTTTTTTTTACATATCATCGTTAGTTTCCCAATTCTTGTGTATTTCCGCAGAAAACGATGCTATTTTTTGATCCGATCTATAGTTTTGGCAAAGAAGAGAATTCAAATTCTTCATCATGCTCGACCGATGAGTCAGACATCCAGATCAACCACATTAAAGACTTGCACGACTTATTAGGAGTTCGAAAATTTAGAAAGCTGGTTTTAAATTTTGTCAGAGGTAATCAATTAATTATCAGGAGTTCGGATCATGCCATAATTAAATCTGTAATCACAGTGCTTAAGGTATACCGAGAGCATTTCGTCACGTGCCATTCATTAGTTTATTTACTTACGTATTGTTTTAATTATTATTATTATTTTTTTTTTTTTTCATGTGCACTTTTATAAAGGATTTGGTGCCGAACGATTGTTGCAAAGTTCTTGAATATGCGAACGAATACCAGTCGATAACAGAATACAATATATTGGGACTTGACGCAATGACGAAAATACCCGATGAAATTGAAAAGTCATCCATCTGTCTGTTAGATATCCTTTTCATTGATGCCTGTTATGCTCTCTTCCTCCACGTGCGCACCGTCACATAATTTTCTTTAACTGATTGCACACATGCAATATATGATTTCGAGGTTCCGTCTCAGGAGATCATCAAGTTTGATTTGTCATTTGGGATAGAGGAAAGTGCTATTGGAATAAACGACACGGCTAATTCATACACCAATCAATTATCGGGAATATTAAAAATGAACTTGCAGATTGAATTGGTTAACATAAGACTTATGATGTTTAAGGAGCAATGGTCAAGGTATGAGATGCCACATCATAGATCGTAGCCGGTTTTCGAAGATCCTTTAATAACCGTCAAAATATCGTCATATTATTTAGCAAAGCAAAACAGTATCTTAATCTTGCGGTGAATACGCCAGATTTCAACAAGGAGAATAGTCTAGATAAAGAAAAGAGATTGGCTAAAGCATTGGACATTAACGAAATTGATTTGCCCATAATTAGACTTTTATCGGGTCATTTTGGGATAAAGTGACGGGTTTCAATGAATATTAATTACCTAATTTTTTTTTTTTTTTTTTTTGAGTTCTTTAATTTTAATTAATGTGGTAGAAGTTTAAAAATGACGGAAAAAAAAAAAAAAAAAAAAAAAAAAAAATAGAAAATTAAAATGCGAAATTGAACAATTGAACAATGATCATTTATTTGAAAGTATATTCGGCATGCAAAATAGATAGAAAACCTGTGTTAGTGTACAAATATCGATCGAATCCGCCGATTCGTTACAAACGCAAACAAGGGTCGGTGTCATCCAATAAATCATCTGGTGACCATTTGCAAATATTTATTTGTTACCTTTCTCCAAATTGGTTCGAATCATTTGAGTCATTAAAAATTTGATCTACCAATAAAGGTCCAACTTACTCATTTCACTCAAAGAATTCACTTATAATGGACCTTATAAAAAGAACCTCCGTCCCTTAATTCGAACTAGCATGCTGTGTGTCACCGATAAATTATTATTGTTGACCACAATTTGATCATTAAAAATTAATGTGATGATTATTCAAATTATGTGCTAAATTACTTTGCAAAAACAAAATAGATAATGAAATTCACCTATTTGGTTCAGACAAAAACAAATCGTATCCGTGGCCTTCTGATTAAAAGTAATTTGGATCAATTTTGTAACCACAATGATCGACGTGATACTAAAATGATGTCGTAACAAAGAATTGTGGATTTCTTTAAAGAAGAAAGAAAGTGATTCATCCCATTTCAACAAAAATGCTCTTTCCACCATTGATGATTAAAAAGAGAAAAAAGAAATCAAATTTTATTATTGCGAATTGACAATTGTGATAAATGAGAATTGGAAATTCGTATGAAAGTGGGTTAACCAAACTCTCAGCTCTTAATACTACAGACATTGGTTAATCATATTCCTTATTACCAATTATTGATCTCCTCAAGAAATCATATGAAAAAAAGAAGTGTGTCGCAGCCTACTATATTACTGTGCTTGAAGTTATTAGTAATGGCAGGTTACACTTGACTTCCATCATTTTGTTTCGAAGTCCACACCGGGGGGGCGACCTGGTTACATCATTGATTTTACTGTGTCATTGCTACGGGGTCATAGGTTTCTTATGCTTATTTCCAATTCATGTTATGTGATAGTGATAGATTCTCATAAAAAAATTTTTTTCTATTTATTTCACAAGTTACAATGTGAATTCTTAAAACTCTGAATACGCAAAACCTGATCTACGCGAAAATGAGTGAGACTTGTGTTCAATCAATTTGGACATGAAATTCGGGTGTGAAACTTGAAAATCGGGTTGTATGAATGAAACACGGATCGGATCTAAGCTTGGATCTCGCTCGCTTGCGCGAAATTTGAATTACAATGTGCAATTTACTGTAAGTCATGTACATCTTCCGAATTAATAATCAATAAATGTCGCGAGGCACGGATTAACCCCAATTGGTTGTGGTAAAGACCAAATAATATCAAATGAGACTTCAAGACAAAATCTAAAGGAGCGGAATCATTATAAACTCTTATTAATGCGAGGTGATGTGGGTTTTGATTGATGGTGTCAGGACGAATAATGAAAATGATGATTCGCTGGTATGAAAATCACTTGCCCATCCGTCTATTTCAAATGACTACATATTATGACGTCTCGGAGAATGCTGATTTTAAGAAAGATCGATACTCTGAGATGCGTTTAATTGAATATGAAGTATTGAAAGACATGAAGGATAATTGCGACAGACAGATTTCAACATTCCCCTGATCAAATTCGTTATCGACCACGGGATTTTTTTCTAACGGATTACTTTAATCATAAGATTTTTAACGAGATTTCATTTCGCGTTTGAACACTAAAATCATAATGCAACTTCAATATGCCACGTAAATGAGCACTATGTTGCCAAATGTTTGTTGAATAGTGGGTCATCGCAAACATAACATAATTTCATAATTGCGCCTTAATTTAATCTTGAAATCGAAAAATAAAAAAATAAAAAAATAATATACTGTAAAATCATTTTTTTACGTTTAGCAGTTGAATTATTGCCGAATGTGGTTAAACTTATTAATGAAAAGATTGACGAATTTGTTTTTCAAATGACATTACTATCTCGGCAATCATTTAATATATTAATTAATAATTCCACAAAAATTCGTTTATAATTTAATAAAACTCATCCTAAAATTTATTTATTTAAAAATTTAATTGACAATTTGACAATTTAATAAATATTAATTAATAATTTAACATACATTATTTAACAAAAATTATATTATTCATATAATTTTAATTCCAAAAAAAATTCATGTATAAGTTTATCAATTTTTTTTACTTTATAATTTCATATTATCAAATTTTTGCTAGATAGTTTTGATAAATAATTGATAAATAATTAATAAATTATTACCAAATTATTGATAAATTATTAATTAATTTTTAAAAAATTGTTAAAAAAATTTTTTAATAGATTTTTAATAAACTTTAATAAATTTTTATTAAATAATAATAATTATTATTTTTTTAACCCTCTATCAGACTAGTTATGTGTGCTAGTTATATGTACTTTATTAAACATTTGCAAACTATACATATAATATAAATCACTAAAGTTAAAAAGTACTAACTAGCTCACTCCTCTTTGTAATTACTACTCTAAGTATAACTTTGAAAGTGATTTATCACTTCATTAGAAGTTCAAATCAACTCTTAATATTATTGCTTGCAAGTCACTATTGCAAATAATTATTTATTTGTTATTATAGAACTACTATATTATAAATATTATGTATGTTTCTAATATTTGAATTATTGATATGTATTATTTGTTTCAATTATAATATTATATGGTAGAGGACAAAAAAAATTGCCTAAATTTTTTAAAAAATTAAAATTTTTATTATAATATAAAATTTATTTATTTAAAAAAAATATTAAAATAAATATTTTAGTTTTATAAAATAATTTTTAATTAAAATAATTTATATTTAATTAATAATATTATTTTTAATTTTTTTTAAAATTTTAAATTTTATATATTAATTCATATAAATATTATAACTTATATATATATATTTATATATATTAGTTTGTAAAATTTGTATATGATATAAAATTTTTTAATTAAAATAAAAATATAAAATAATAATAATAATAAAAGTTATAAAATAGTCATAAATAAAATTAATTTTTAGTTATTTAAGTATTTATATTTTAAGTTTAATTTAATTTAATTTTTTTTTTAAGACATTAGTTCATCCTTATACCTATGTGCTGCATATTTTATTTGAGTAAATAAAAAATCTAAAAACAACTGGAATGAATAATTACCCATGCTGTCTAAGGATTTATAGATTAATAAATAGTATAAAGAGCTAACTATTTATATCTCTTACTCAACTTGAATAAGATAATTACATGACCATCTAGTATAGATTAACTATTTACAAAGAAAAATGATATATAAACTATATTACTTTTCTATTCTACACTTAGGCATTCCCTAGGAACATAACTTAAACCTTGATCCATTGAGCGGCTTATTGCCATCCCTAAAGAGGAAGCTAATATATCAAGAATTCATCTGAAATACTCATCATCACCAATATTAAGGATCCCTTATGTAGAACCTTAACCTTTATTAATACTTAACCAAAAATTTTATAAAAAAAAAGTTGACTAGTATTGTTCTTGAAGAGTTACTTTGTTATTTAAAAGGATGATAAATATGTTTTTAAAGAAGAGGTAATAGGTATTCAAAACTCTTCTAAAATGATTCTATTCTATAAGATCATTTTCTTTTTTACTTAATTTCACTGGAGTAGGAGAGAAGAAGTAAAAAGTTGATGTTTTCTATCTGATATGTCCTAATCCAATGTTGTTCTTTCTATATAATCAATAATATTATAGATATTTGTGTCTTATAGCCACTCATATCACAATATATAACTTATAGTAGACCCCAGGTTCTTATAAGTACTGAGAAAATGCATTCAAACATGTAAAATAATCAATAGGAGCTTGTTTACATTCCTTTACTGATATATTTTTTGCTAACCAATCACTGTTTGAGAAACTTTGTGTTATATAAAATTCAGGGTCAAATTGAGATAGACAAAATTCCTCAAAAAAACTAAGAAAGAGTACTCTTAGAGCAAGTACATAACAAGAGAGTAGGTAATTATCTTCAAAATAAGTCTCTTATCACTAGAAAAGCTTTGTATTGTTTTTCTAACAAATAGATAGGTAGAAACACTTTAGTTCTTCTTCCTTTTAAAACTTTCTTGCCATTGATAAGAAAGATATATTCATGACTTTTGTTACTAAAAGTTGGGTTTTTATTTGAAAAAGATTGTTTATAAAAGGAAAATAGAAGTAAAGATGACTTTTGAAAAGTTTTTTTAAGTTGGTTTAAGAAAAGTTAGAAAATTTTATTAATCAAGAAATATGAAATTTCTTGTGAATATCTTTTTTATATGTAATCAGCAAATCAATGGAAAGAGTTGGTTTAATTTAATTTAAATAATGCTTTATTATGTTAAATATATTTAAAAAAAGGCAATTTTTTTGTTTCCTACTGCATATGTTTGTAATATTTGAATTATTAATATGTATTATTTGTTTTAATTATAATATTATATTTTGATTCTTTATAATATATCAATAGAATCAAGTTTATTTTTCTCAATAGTTTACTATTTCTTAAAATTTTTTTTTTTTTTTTTTTTTGCTGACTCAGCCTTGTTTATTAGCTTTGATAAAGTAATTTGCAATACATATTGTAGGAATTACAAAAGAAGACAGAAAGTATTCTATATATCATTTATGC